AAGTGATGCAAAGCAAAGGACTGAATCCAAGAATACTCTATCCAGCAAGGCTATCATTCAAAATTGAAGGGGAAATAAGAAGCTTCACAGACAAATAAAGGCTAAGGGAGTTTATCACCACCAAGCCAGCAATGCAAGAAATGCTAAAGGGACTGGTGTAAAAAGAAGAAATAAAAAGCTCAGAAAGAAAACAGCCACACACAAAAAGAAATGGCTACAAACAAGTACCTTTCAATAATAACTTTAAATGTAAATGGACTAAATGCTCCAACCAAAAGACATCGAGTGGCTGAATGGATAAAAAAACATGACCCATACATTTGCTGTCTACAAGAGACCCACCTCAGAAGAAGGGACTCACACAGACTGAAAGTGAAGGGATGGAAAAATATCTTTCAGGCAAATGGAAATGAAAAAAAAGCTGGGGTAGCAATACTTATATCGAACAAAATAGACCTCAAAGTGAAGGCCATAACAAGAGATAAGGAAGGCCACTTCATAACACTAAAGGGATCAATACAACAATAGGATATAACCCTGATAAACATATATGCACCCAATGCAGGAGCACCCAAATACATAAAAAACTCCTGGAAGATATCAAGGGAGAGATCGACAATAATACAAACATAGTAGGGGACTTTAATACACCACTGACATCACTGGATAAATCCTCTAGACAAAAAGTCGGCAAAGAAACAGCAATCCTAAATGACTCACTAGATCAGATGGACTTAATTGACATCTTCAGAACACTTCACCCCAAAGCCACGCAATATACATTCTTCTCAAGGGCTCATGGGACATATTCAAAAATAGACCACATATTGGGTCACAAACAAAGTCTCCCCAAATTCAAGAAGATTGAAATCATACCAAGCATCTTCTCAGACCATGATGGCATAATATTAGAAATAAACTACAATAGAAACAATCCAAAATACTCAAACACTTGGAAGCTGAATAGCATGTTATTAAATATTCATTGGGTTACCAATGAGATCAAAGAAGAAATTAAAAACATCCTGGAAACTAATGACAATGAAAACACAACAATCCAAAACCTATGGGGCACAATGAAAGCAATCCTGAGAGGGAAGTTTATAGCTCTACAGGCCTATCACAAAAAACAAGAAAAAATGGTAGTAAATCATCTAACTCTACAACTCAAAGAATTAGAAAGAGAGCAACAAGAAAAGCCCAGAGTGAGCAGAAGGAAGGAGATAATAAAGATTAGAGCAGAAATAAATGACATAGAGACCAAAAAAACAATACATAAATTCAATGAAACCAAGAGCTGGTTCTTTGAAAGGATAAACAAGATTGATGGACCTCTAGCCAGGCTCACCAAGAAACAAAGAGAGAGGACCCAAATAAACAAAATCAGAAATGATAGAGGCAAAATAACAACAGACCCCACAGAAATACAAATGATTGTTAAACAATACTATGGACAACTCTACTCCAACAAATTAGACAACCTGGAGGAAATGGACATATTCCTAGAAAAAGACAACATTCCAAAACTCAATCAGGAAGAATCTAAAAATCTCAATAGGCCAATAACTATGGAAGAAATTGAAGCAGTCATCAAAAAGCTTCCAGCAAACAAAAGCCCAGGACCAGACGGCTTCACAGGGAAGTTTTACCAAACATTCAACGAAGAACTAAAACCTATCCTCCTCAGACTACTACAAAAAATCCAAGAGGAAGGAACACTTCCAAGCTCATTCTATGAAGCTAGCATCACCCTAATACCAAAACCAGGGAAAGACAACACAATGAAAGAGAATTACAGGCCAATATCCCTCATGAACATAGATGCCAAAATCCTCAACAAAATCTTAGCAAATCGGGTCCAGCAGTACATCAGAAAGATCATACACCATGACCAAGTAGGATTTATCCCAGGGATGCAAGGATGGTACAATATCCGAAAATCAATAAACGTGATACATCACATAAACAAATTGAAAGAAAAAAACCACATGGTCATATCAATTGATGCAGAAAAAGCATTTGACAAAATCCAACACCCATTTTTGATAAAAACTCTCAGCAAGGTGGGAATAGAAGGATCATACCTCAACATAGTAAAAGCCATATATGACAAACCCACAGCCAACATCATACTCAATGGACAAAAACTAACACCATTTCCCCTAAGAACAGGAACAAGACAGGGATGCCCATTCTCACCACTCCTGTTCGATATAGTACTGGAAGTATTAGCCATTGCAATTAGACAAGAAGAAGAAATAAAAGGCATCCAAATTGGAAAAGAAGAAGTAAAACTATCCTTATTTGCAGATGACATGTTATTATACATAAAAAACCCTAAAGACTCCATCAAAAAACTATTAGACTTAATAAATGAATTCGGCAATGTAGCAGGATACAAAATCAAGGCCAAGAAATCTATGGCATTTCTATACACCAATAGTGAACTTACAAAAAGAGAGACTAAAAAAGCAATCCCATTTACCATCGCACCAAAAAAAATTAAGATATCTAGGAATAAACTTAACTAAGGAGGTAAAAGACTTATATGTGAAAAACTACAGGACACTGAAAAAAGAGATAGAGGAAGACATAGACAGATGGAAGAAGATACCGTGTTCATGGATTGGTAGACTCAACATCATTAAAATGTCCATACTACCCAAAGCAATCTATAGATTCAATGCAATCCCCATTAAATTACCAACGGCATATTTCACAGATCTAGAACGAACGTTCTAAAAATTCATCTGGAATAAAAAAAGACCTCGAATAGCTGCAGCAATCCTGAGGAAGAAGAACAAAGTTGGTGGGATCTCAATACCAGATATCAAACTGTATTACAAAGCGACTGTTCTTAAAACAGCTTGGTACTGGCACAAGAACAGACATATAGATCAATGGAATAGAATAGAGAGCCCAGAAATCGACCCAAACCACTATGCTCAATTAATATTCGACAAAGGAGGCAAGAGCATACAATGGAGTCAAGACAGTCTCTTCAATAAATGGTGTTGGGAAAATTGGACAGATACATGCAAAAAGATGAAACTAGACCACCAACTTACACCATACACAAAAATAAACTCAAAATGGATAAAAGACTTAAATGTAAGACGGGAAACCATAAAAATACTAGAGGAATCCACAGGCAGCGAAATCGCAAACATATGCAGAAGGAATTTCTTTTCTGATAATGCGCCTATGGGCAATGGAAACTAAAGAGAAAATAAACAAATGGGACTACATCAAAATAAAAAGCTTTTGCACAGCAAAGGAAACCATCAACAAAACAACAAGAAGACCCACTACATGGGAAAACATATTTGCCAATGATATCACCGATAAGGGTTTAATCTCCAACATTTACGGGGAACTCATGAAACTTAACAATAGGAAGATAAACAATCCAATCAAAAAATGGGCAAGGGACCTAGATAGACACTTTTCGAAAGAGGACATACAGAAGGCCGAAAGACATATGAAACCATGCTCAAAGTCACTAATCATCCAAGAGATGCAAATCAAAATGCAAAAGATGCGGTATCATCTCACACCTGTCAGAATGGCTATCATCAACAAATCAACAAACAACAAGTGTTGGAGAGGATGTGGAGAAAAAGGAACCCTTCTGCACTGCTGGTGGGAATGCAGACTGGTGCAGCCACTGTGGAGAACAGTATGGAGTTTCCTCAAAAAACTAAAAATGGAACTCCCATTTGACCCCGTGATCCCACTGCTAGGAATATATCCCAAGAAAACAGAAACACCAATCAGAAAGGATATATGCACCCCTATGTCCATAGCAGCACAATTCACCATAGCTAAGATTTGGAAACAGCCTAAGTGCCCATCAGCAGATGAGTGGATTAGAAACCTGTGGTACATCTACACGATGGAATACTATGCTGCGGTAAAAAAGAAGGAACTCTTGCCTTTTGCAACAGCATGGATGGAACTGGAGAGCATTATGCTAAGTGAAATAAGCCAGTCAGAGAAAGATAAATACCACATGATCTCACTCATTTATGGATAATAAAGACCATTATAAACTTATGAACAAAAATAGATACAGAGGCAGAGCTTCCTCGAACAAACTGTCCAACTACAGTGGGAAGGCCAGGGACGATTGGGGGGCAGGATGGGGGGGGGGGCGGGGGTAAGAGATCAATCGAAGGACTTGTATGCATGCATATAAGCATAACCAATGGACATAAGACACTGGGGGGTAGGGGAGGCCAGGGGATTGTCAAGGGCGGGGGGGAAAAGGAGACATATGTAATACTCTTTGTAATACTTTAAGCAATAAAACAATAAAAACAATAAAAAAATAAAACAACAACAAAAAAGGTGCTTCCAGTCCTAGCTAGATGGCTCAGTGGGTTGGAGTGTCATCCCAGATACCAAAAGATTGTGGGTTCAATCCCCTGTCAGGGTGTGTATGAGAAGCAACCGATCAATGTTTCTTCCTCTCTCTCTCTCTCTCTCTGTCAATAAAGATATATCCTCAGGCAAGGATAAAAAAAAGTGCTTCCCAATGAATGCCTGGCACAAAGGAAGAGAGAAGGATCTGGAAGGAACAGCCTCTGAGGCTGTGTGAAATCAACCCCTTGGAAAAGTCCTCCACAGAAGCACAGAAGCAGGGAATGAAGGAGGGCCCCTGTCACAGCCCAAAACCTGAAGGAGTCAGATAAGACCTCAACACTGTACTTGGAGATGCAGTACCCCAACCATACTCGGACACACACCCAAGATGCTGGAGACGACCACCCTGCCCCTTGCCTATGTCACCAGGGGTAGCAGACTCAGGGTCACCTGGATCACCCCCAACAGCTTCACACTGAGCATTGTTATGAAGTCTTGTTTGGTCAGCCATTCCTTGGGTGCCGTGGGCACAGACATGCCAATTATTCACCAGGCCCCAGAGCCCTGGGCACAGTGGGAGTAAGAGAGCAATCCTGTGCTGTGACCCTGTAGTGAGAACACATGTGTGGTTCCAATTTACATTCCAATTCAGTTTATTTTATTCAGTCAACAACAGTGTGATGCCTGGTATAAGGAAAAAGAGTGTGGGAGAGGAAACAGGAACGTGGTGGTTACAGGGAGTCAGAGTTTGCAAACGTGTTTAGCTACTAAATGGCAAGGATGGTCCTTCTCATTTTTCTGCTCCTCAGTGCCTGGCACGCAATAGGCAATCAGCCCATCTTTATTAAGTGCATGAGTCGACTCATTGATGTTTCTCTCTCATCCATGTTTCTGACTCTATGCCTCTCCCTTCCTCTCTGTAAAAAATCAATAAAATATATATTTTTTTAAAAATGTATATTCTTTGATTCAATTATTTAATTTTACTTTAATAATAGTATTTGAGAATGTGAGCAATAATGCACCATACTTCTCTCTACAGATGCATCTCCTCCCTCACACAGTACCCAATTCCCCCCTACTATGCACCACAATCTTGGGTCACATGGCCTTAGCAGGTCTTGGGTTCCTCCAGTTGATCATGGCATCCACCAGGAAGGTGGGCATGTAGCTCATGGGAAGGTAGATGAGCTTGGCATCCCAGCCAGGTGAGTATCGGGTGCGGGGATGGCAGGCGGTCAGAGCATGTTGCATGCAGTTCGTCACCAAGGACAGATCTTGTGAGCACATTTTATCCAATGATCCAACTGCTTTCAGGGCTGTCCAGAATGAGAAAGAATCCAGATGTATTCCCATCTCCAACTTTCCCACCTTTAGATCACCTTACAGGATGAGTTTCTAGAATTCCTGGTCTCATACATTGAATCCACCCAAATTCTTTAGAGGGTGCCCCTCTCCTCCCCCAGGCACAACTGTTTCACTCTAATCCACCTCTGGCTTTATTCCTAGGAATATGTGGAACACATAACTGCAGGTCTCCACAGACACTAGAAACCTAAGTGCCTGAAAGCCAGTTGCTCTTATACTTGCTCACCAGGAGTTCACGGGTGTCTTTTCTCTCTGGCTTTAGTTTCATCCTCAGAAAAATGAGAGCTCACATGAGACAGTGGTGCCACGTCTAACAAGCCTGGATCCTTTCCTTAGGTTACCAGTTGACAACATGGGACCACAGAGATAGAATTAAAGGTCCCCCGTTTTTGGGTGAGTCAGAGCACAGAGGTTGGACCTGAGACTAAGGTTGTACTAACTATGAATCTAGACTTCAGAAAAATGGTTTGCTTCTATCCCCATGAACCACAAGGCCCACTTACTGCGTGCCAGCAACCTCTCCCCATAGGCCTCCTTGACCTCTGGGCTGGCCTTATCCCATGTCTCTAGCAAGTTTCTAGAAATCACCGCAGAACTGCTCACAAAAGTCTTGAAGAAACCCGGCTCAACGATAGCCACTTTCACCCCAAAGTGGGAGAGCTCCCTCCTGCAAGGCAAACCGACAGAGAGGCAAAGACTTCAGAGGTCTTATAAAAGAAAACAACACCTGGAAAAAACCCACCCCAACAAAACACCAATGTAAGATTGCAGTAGATTAAGCTCAAAAGTCTGGGGAGTTGTGAAGTGCAGCAGACAGGAGGAGAAAATTTGATGATAGTATTGCCTCCCTACAGAGTTTGAGTATTTTTACAAGTATTTACATACATTTGCTTATAACTCCAAATCCTACCAATTCTGCTGAAAGACACCACTTAAATTCTATCCCCTGGTATTTCTGTCACAGGCAATAAAAAACTGGGCTGTACCTATTTTCTTTCCCATGCTCCTCACACCACTCCTTCTGGTCTCCCACCCAGGTCACCCTCCAGGCCATCTGTCTTCTAAGGAGCTCTCTCTGCCTGTGGTCTCACCTCCCCCTCCCCCCGCCCATCACAGCCATCCTCAGCCCTGAAGCCAGTGGAGTCTCTACAGCTGATGTGATGAAGATGCTCCCCTGAATAAAGTGCTTCCCTGGGGCTTCACTGACAACAGGGCCCCCGGAAACCAATTACCATAGCAGTTATGTACATGGATGGGCTGTGAGGTGGAATAAGATCAGTTCCAATTCTGTCTCACATGCTTCCTGACTGAGGGCAGGGACAGGTTGAATCAACTCCATTGCCCTGAGGCCCATCCAGCCTCCAGAAGACAAAAAAAGTGCTTCCCAATGAATGCCTGGCACAAAGCAAGAGAGAAGGATCTGGAAGGAAGAGACTCTCAGGCTGTGTGAAATCACCACCTTGGAGAAGGCTTCCCGGGAAGCACAGAAGCAGAAGAACCAAAGGAGGTTCTGTCCCAGTCCAGTACCTGAGGGAGTCGGAGAAGGCCTCGACGCCGTACTTAGAGATGCAGTAGCCGCCACCAAACAAGGCTACACGACCCATGATGCTGGAGACATTGACCACTCGGCCCTTTGCTCTCCTCACCAGGGGCAGCAGACTCAGGGTCACCTCGATCACCCCCAACAGGTTCACATTGAGCATCTTTACGAAGTCCGGTTTGGTCAGCCACTCATTGGGTGCCGTGGGCACAGAGATGCCAGCATTATTCACCAGGCCCCAGAGTCCTGGGCACACAGAGGGGAGAGAGGAAGACTGTGCTGAGACCCTGCAGTGAGGACACAGCTGTGGTTCCAATTCACCTTCCAACTGAGTGAGGACAGTATGAGGAGGCGACATGGGGAGCGGGCAGAACAGGTAACAGATAGCTACATGCTGTCTGCAGGGTTTGGGGCAGTGCAGACCCTGTAAGCTGTGGTGACAGGGAGTAGTCCTTCCTCCTGGATTATTCCTAGTGCCCAGCCCGAGGATGTGCTTATTGATTTTATTTTATTTTAAATATATTTTTATTGGTTTTAGAGAGGAAGGGAGAGGGAGGGAGAGAGATAGAAACATCAATGATGAGAGAGAATCATTGATGGGCTGCCTCCTGCACACCCGCTACTGGGGATCGAGACCGCAACCAGGTCATGTTCCCTTTACCGGAATCAAACCCGGGACGCTTCAGTCCGAAGGCCGATGCTCTATCCATTGAGCCAAACCAACCAGAGCTGCTTATTATTTTAAAGAGAGGAAGTTGGAGAGAGAGAGAGAGAGAGAGAGAGAGAGAGAGAGAGAGAGATTGATTGGTTGCCTTCCATACCTGCCCCGTTTAGACATGGAACCAGAACCTGGGACGATGCTCCAATTGACTGAGTCGCAAGGCCAGGGTTTGGTTGCATCTTTATATACCAATAATGAACCATCAGAAAGGGAAATTAAGAGAGCAATCTCATTTAAAAGTTCATTTTTAGAAAACACACCAAAAACCTAGGAATTAATTTAATCAAAGAAGTAAAAAACCTGTACTCAGAAAATTATAAGCTATTAAAGAAAGAAATTGAAGAAGGTACAAAAAAATAGAAGCATATACCATGCTAATGTATAGTAATAATTACCCTTGTTAAAATGTCCATACTACCAAAATCGCCTATAGATTCAATGCAATTCTTCAAAATATCCATACTATTGAAATCAATCTACATATTCAATGCAATCTGTATCAAAATACCATTGCCATTTTTCATAGAACTAAATATAGTACTAAAACTTGTATGGAACCACAAAAGACCCTGACTAGCCAAAGCAATCGTGAGAAAGAAGAACAATTTGGGAAGTATTACGCTATCCGATAACAAACAATACTACAGGACTATAATAATCAAAAGAACATAGTAGGTGTCAGTTGGGAGCTGTGTGAGAAGGTGAAGGGATTAAGCAAAGAAAAAAGAAGAAAGACTCATGGACACAGACAATATCATGGTGATTGCAGGAAGGAAGGGGAAATGCAGGAGGTAGAAGAGAGTAAAGAGGGGATAATTGGTGATGGAAGAAGACTTGACTTGGAGTGGTAAATACAAATGCAATATACAGATGATGCACTGTATGTAGAATTGTATATCTGAAACTTACATAATTTTATTAACCAATGTCACCCCAATAAATTCAATTTTTAAAAAGCATGGTACTGCCCTCACTTGTTTGGCTCAGTGGATGGAGCGTCGGCCTGCGGACTGAGGGGTCCCGGGTTCGGTTCCGGTCAGGGGCTTGTGCCTTGGTTGCGGGCACGTTTCCAGTGGGCGGTGTGCAGGAGGAAGCTGATTGATGTTTCTCTCTCATCGATGTTTCTGACTCTCTGTCTCTCTCCCTTCCTCTCTGTAAGAAATCAATAAAATATTTGAGGGAAAATAAAAAAGCATGGTACTGACATAAAAACAGACACATAGATCAATGGAATAGAATAGAGAGCCATGAAATAAACCCACACCTATCGGTCAAGCAATCTATGACAAAGGAGGCAAGACTATACAATGGGATAAAGACAGTCTCTTCAATAAATGATATTAGAAAATCTGAACAAACACATGTTCAGAAATTAAACTAGACTACTTTCTTATACCCAATTCAGGAATAAATGAATTAAAGACTTAAATGTCAGACTCAAAACCATAAAACTCCTACAAGAAAAACATAGTAAACTCTTTGACACTGGTCTTCAAAATATTTTTTTAATATGTCTTCTCAGGGAAGGGAAACAAAAGAAAAAAATAAACAAATGCGACTACATCAAACTAAAAAGTTTTTGCACAGCAAAGGAAACTATAAATGAAACAAAAAGACAACCTACAGAATGGGAGAAGATATTCACCAATGATATATTCATTAAGGGGTTAATATCCAAAATTTATAAGGAATTCATCTTAACACCAAAAAGACAAACAATCCGATTAAAAATGGGCAGAGGATCTGATAGATATTTCTCCAAAGAGGACATAAGGCTGGCCCATAGACATATGAAAAGATGGTCAACATCACTAATTATCAGAAAAACAAATTAAAACCAAAGTGGAATATCACCTCACATCTGTCAGAACAGCTATCATCACAAAATCAACAAACAGCCCAGCAGGAGGAAAGAATGGGAGCTCAGTGGTTGATGGTCGACCTATGAACCAGGAGGTCATGGTTCAATTCCCGGTCAGGGCACATGCCCAGGTTGTGGGCTTGATCCCCAGTGTGAGGCGTGCAGGAGGCAGCTTATCAATGATTCTCTCTGATCATTGATGTTTCTATCCCTCTCTCCCTCTCCCTTCATCTCTGAAATAAAAAAAATATATTTTAAAAATCCACAAACAACAAATGTTGGCAAGGATGTGAAGAAAAAGGAACACTGTGCGCTGTTGGTGGATTGCAAATTGGTGTAGCCACTATGAAAAACAGTACGGAGGTTCCTCAAAAAATTAAAAATAGAACTACCACGTAACCCAGCAATCCCCCTGATGGGTATTACTCCAAAAAAAATCCAAAAACTAATTGGAAAAGATATATGCATCCCTATGTTCATTGCAGCATTAGCTACAGTAGCTACATAATAAGTTATGGAAGCAACCTAAGTGGCCATTAATAGACAACTGGATAAAGAAGTAGTACAAACATAATGAGATATTACTCAGCCATAAAAAGAATGAAATCTTACCAGTTTCGACAACATGGATGGACCTAGAGAGTATTATATAAGCTAAGTGAAATAAGTCAGATAGAGAAAAACAAATACCATATGATTTCACTTACATGTGGAATCTAAATGAACAAGCAAAACAGAAACAAACTCATAGATACAGAAAACAAATTGATGATTGCCAGGTGGTAGGGGCATGGGGGATAGGGTGAAAAAGGTGAAGGGATTAAGAAGTACAAAGGCAGGGGAAGGTGGGTGGGAAGAGATCAACCAATGAACTTGTATGCATATATGCATAACCCATGGACACAGACAATGGGGTGGTGAGGACCTGGGGTTGGGGTAAGGGGGGGGGGCCAGGAGCGGGCTGGAAGAGATTCATGGGGGACAAAGGAGGACCTATGTAATGTCTTCAACAATAAAGATTAAAAGAAAGCCCTAACTGGTTTGGCTTAGTGGATCGAGCGTTGGCCTGTGGACTGAAGAGTCCCAGGTTCGATTCCGGTCAACGGCATATACCTTGGTTGCGGGCTGCCACCCATTTAAGCTTCAGGCTAGTGCCCCCTTCTCCACCCGCCTCCAGAACATGGGCCCTCATCTCCCCGGGGCACTCAGCATCTAGAAATTCAGAACCATAGACAAGAATTCTGCAGGGACCAGATCTCATCAGCACGAACTCTCCCCAAGCTACAGAGCTCCAAAGTCAGAGGCTAGGGCAGTGGACCGAGAAGAGGCTCAGCTGGTATGCTGGGTGAGGTGAAGAACGCTAGTGGGATTTCGAGTCCTAGAAAACACGTTGGGAATCTTCCCCAGGGAGCAAGGGGTCTTCTCTTGACAGGAGAGAAGAAACAGACTTGAGAAACCTGTGTGATACCTCTGTCCCCCGTGCGCTCCTTCACCCACTGGGTGGCCGCAGCGATGCTCTCTGTGCTGGTGACATCCAGGATCACCGTCTCCAGCCTGTCTGACGTCTTGACCCTCAGCTGCTCGGCCCCCTTTTCTGTCAGACATGCAGCCAGCACCCTCAAGCCTCGTAGGTCCAGCTGCCTGGCCAGCAGGTTCCCGAAGCCCGAGTCACAGCCCGTGATGAAGACATACTTGTCTTGCAGGTGGCTCACCACCTGTCGCTCCCAGTACCAGCGCAGAAGGTAGTACTGGCCCACGAGGATTGCCAGGTACAGCCACATGGCTTTCCCGGGACAGGCGGTAGGCAAGGGTGAAATGAGAATGTGGCCAGTGTTCCGTCAGGAGGATCTAGGAGCACAGGGTATAAGTTAGCATACCAGCCTCCAGGCACTCTGACATGGAGTCCTCAGGTCATTCCTGTTCATCTTCTTTAGTATTTATATGTTTGTTTAGTGAGTATGATCGCTTCTTGCCCATTTTGTAGATCTTTGGCACACTTACACCATTTCTAATAGGTGACAGTGCATTGCTCCGGAAATCCCTTGACCTGAGCATAGTTTTCCCAACCACCAGATCTTGGTTCTCCACTCCTCCCTCTTTGCCTCCTCTCTTCTTCCCCCCCCCCATCAACCTGCCCTAAACTGGAGCCGCCCCTATGATCATGGTCCAATGGCCCAGCACTGTCTTCTTCCCCTTTTCCTGCTCAAGTCAGGAACCCTCGTCTCCCTGACCTACTGGAGAGTTTCACAAAGAGGATGGACTTTGAATCAAGACACACGTGAGCTCAATATCCAGCTCTGCTCCAGCTACCATGTGACCTTGGCAGTGGGCGGAGCCTCTGAGGTTCTTCTCATTTGGCTCCGCACAGAATTCACTCCTAAGAAAACTGAGCTCTGCTTAGAAAACTAAGTTTTGGATTAGAAAGAGAGGGAAAGGCATATAATGTCCCCTGCTGATGTAGAGACTCTCAGGGGCAGAAAGGTGTTCAGGAGACAGGAGGGTGTCTGACTACCTCAGAGGCAAAGAAGAGGAGAAGAAGGGAATGGGGCGGCCACACTCAGGGAAACTTCTCCCGGCACCTGGGAGGTGGAAAGGAAGGACCTACGGAAAGAAGGTCTAATGGCTACCCTCTCACTCCACGAAGATGCCTTGTCCCCAGCCCTGGCCCTCTGCCCCATGCTGAGGTTCTCCCCTGGCAGCCACACTTGCAGAATCCAGACCCAGACCCAGACTCCGAAGGTAGAAAGGATCCCCTTAAACAGGGACCAAGTATGGGTCCTTAACTTCACCATCAGGGAGGCTGTAAACCCCAGTAACCACAAAGGTCTCAGTCCACTTTGTATCGGGGTGATGATGGGGAGGTGGAGACATCTGCCCCCTCGGGAGACTAAAGAAAAGACTGGACCCTGGAGCCCAGACCAGCTGTCCCTGAGGGGCTTCATGGTGAGATAAGGAAACCATTTCATAGAAGGGGGTGGGCCAGCGGGTGGAACGGGGCTGCAGCGTGGGACAGGGACAGAAGAAGCCAGTTCCAAGCTCTGGGGGCCTCCCTCCCCGTCCACAGTTTCACAGTTCTGACTGGTAAGCAGGCAAGAGTAGAGGCACTGGGAGAGGGGAGAGGCTTCCTTGAAGAAACCAGAGACTCAAATGCCTGGACATATGCCGGCAAGCAGAAGAGACAGAGACAGGCAGGGGCAGATCCAGCCTTCAGCTGTAACTCTGGTCTGCAGAGCGCTACTGTGTAATTCTGAGAGTCTGTCCCTCATGGTGGGAGGCGGCAGCAGGATGGCACCTGCTGGCCCTGCAGAAACCACCCTGTCCCTGCTCCCTGGGGTGACTGCCAGCACCCGGCTCCAAAACTTTCCCAAGATAGGGAAGGAGGAAGGAAGGAGGAAGGAAGGAGCCCTGAAACCCTCAGGGAGCCAAGGGGCATACAAATCCTGACACCAAACCCTGCTAAGGAGAAAATCCCGGTTTCTTGGAAGCAACGGGAGAATTTTTTCCTTAGTGACCACATTCCTTCAACCACTAAGTCTCCAGGGCTAGGAGGCAGAGAAATCTCCCAGCCCACATGATCAGTGCTTCACTCTTGAGAAGCCTAAAAGCAATATAACTGCTTGGGGATTGCCAGGAGCTTCAGAGTCCATCCCAGTTGGGCACAAAAACAGGAAGCTCGGGAGAGAGCAGTAAGACAGAAACGGAATCTGGATGACACCCACTCACCTGGGAGCTACAGGGGCTAGAACGAGAAAACCTTCAGACGAGCCCCCGACACCGAGACCGAGTCTCACCGCAGTGACTCTCTGCAGTAGATCTTTAACACCAAATGCAAGTGCGGGGGTAGCTTGGCCAGGCTCCAGGGCACCACGGCTTGAGCAACATGGACCTGGAACAGAGACACGCACCCCCTGGTGGCTCCACAGAGTCTCAGTGGAGACTTTTGTCAAAAGCAAAACATCCCCCTTCTATTACCTGTGTGAGTCCCTAAAGAAAGAGGGGATTGCATCATAAATGAAAAGGGGCTCTGGAAAGGGTATGGAGTGAGGGTTAGTTGTGCAAGCTCGTTGCCAGTTTTATAGGTACGCAGCCTCACTACCTGGAGTGTGGATCCAAAAACTTTGAGATGCATCCCTGCCTTTAGGTGTGAAGGTCTGGCACTGGAGGGGATGAGAGTTACCGGTGGAAAGTCATTGAGCCCATGCTCCTCATAAAGGTCCAGGGCAGCAAAAGGAAAGAGTGAGGGCAGTGTCCTCAGGGCACCTCATGGTGTCTCATAGCATGGGTCCCAGCCCCTGACGGCTTCATCACACTGGACCTGGCCCCTCCCCAAGGATGGAGCCTAGAAGGAGGAGGGATGGGACTCTTTGGAGAGTCTGGGGTGAAGACGTGGGCTGGTTTCCACTGGTCTCCTTTGTTGTTGTTCCACCTTCAGAGTTGGCCCCTTGAGTCACAGTCCACATTTGGGGCCACTGGACCCATCTGGACGCAGCTCTGCCCCGTGTAGAGCCTAGCATGCAGGGCCACGGGTTTATAACCCCACAGTTCTCTGACACTCTGGAAAGGACTCCTTGGGGTGAATCCAAACCTTCTGAACATACACTTGTAAGGCCAAGGTATTATGTGAATCAACGATTCTTTATTTTATTTCAGTTTGTTTGGTGTGTCTGGCTATGTATGTGTGTAAAGAATATTGTGCAATCAGAGACTTCAGATTAAGCATGAAGCTCTTGCTTGGCATTTGAGTGGGAGACATGCATTGACCTTGAGTCAGCTGACACCAGAGCTTTGAAGAACCCAGAGATCCTTGAGGAGCCTCGCGGTCATCTCCGTGTCCTCAGCAGCCTCATGCCTCACACCAAGCTCTCACTAAGGACTGAGACCGAATAGCCCTGCAACATCCACCTCACTCTCTGTATCGCGAAGAACAGAGAGATTGTTCTACAACATGAGGTTCCCCTGAAAGCACCATACTCATGATTTTAAACTAAAGGAAGAAAACTAAGACACCTGGCAAGTACTCCCCAACTCCACTTTGTACTCAGCCCATGAATATCTTTCACTAAGTGCTAATGCCCACTCTCTGTTTAGTCCATACTCAGCACATTGTCAGAACAGTGGAGGCAGAGTCGGGGCCTCAGCAAGCACTGCGGGTTAAGGGAACTCCTGCCCAGAACACAGTGGGTGCTCAGTAAAGGCTTCAGAAAATGAAAGTCTGGGATCCAGAGGTGGTTCTACTCTCCTCCACTAGGAAAGCCCAGGATGGGATCTGGGCATGGGAACATGGTATAGTAACAGAAGATGGGAGGATCACAGGACTCTACCCGAGGGGACAGATACTCTACAGCTGGCTCCTTCGGCCGATGGGGCAGGCTGGTGGCTGTGCTTTTCACCCCTGCGTCTGTCCACAGAGGCTGATGGGAGGTGGAGAAGAGACCTGAGGCATCCAGAGAAGTGCTGGGTCCTGTCAGTGCCTCAGGACTTGATTGTCCATCCTTATACCTTATCCTGTGGCTCCAGATTTCTTGACAAATCCTGGAAAGGAGACATTAGCCCCTCAGCTCTCTGCAAGGAAGGAAGGGATTTCACTTCTCTCTTCAAATCCCTACTCAGGTCATTCCACCCATCCATTAACCACCGTTAAAGCACCTGACTCTTCCTCTCATCTACCCACACCCCACCGCTCCCGAAGGCCACAGTTTCACTATCTGGGCCTCAATAAAGTTTTCAACTTTAAGGCAAATATAATCAGTGGAAATTCATGTTTTCAAGACAAATCAATAACTGGTTTTGGTGCTCTTTCTCAGGGTCCCTATTGAGACACACCCTTCCTGCCAAGATCTACTAAGTTGGCCCCTGAGGCTGATGGGTCATGGTTGTGCCATTTTCTTTCCTGTATTCCTGAATTACCTCCCTCTTCTTTCCCTCCTAGGTCAACCTCCCTGCCATCTGTCCTCTAAGGAGCTCTCTCTGTCTGTGGTCTCAGCTCCCCCCGCCCCATCACAGCCATCCTCAGCCCTGTAGCCAGTGGAGTCTCTACCGCTGATGTGATGAAGATGCTCCCCTGAATAAAGTACTTCTTTGGGGCTTCACTGACAACAGGGCCCCTGGAACCCAATTACCATAGCAGTTATGTACACGGATGGGCTGTGCAGTGGAATAATATCAGTGCCAGTTCTGCCTCAGATGCTTCCTGACTGTGGGCAGGGACAGGTTGAACCAAACTAATTGTGTGGGGTCCAAACTAATATCTAGAACAGTGATGGCGAACCTTTTGAGCTCGGCGTGTCAGCATTTTGAAAAACCCTAACTTAACTCTGGTGCCGTTTCACATATAGAAATTTTTTGACATTTGCAACCATAGTAAAACAAAGACTTATATTTTTGACATTTATTTTATATATTTAAATGCCATTTAACAAAGAAAAATCAACCAAAAAAATGAGTCCGCATGTCACCTCTAACACGCATGTCATAGGTTTGCCATCACTGATCTAGAACAACAACAACAAAAAAAGGTGCTTCCAGTCCTAGCCAGATGGCTCAGTGGGTTGGAGTGTCATCCCAGATACCAAAAGATTGTGGGTTCAATCCCCCGTCAGGGTGTGTATGAGAAGCAACCGATCAATGTTTCTCTCTCTCTCTTTCCCCCCTCCTCCTTCCTCTCTCTCTAAATCAATAAAAACATATCCTCAGGCAAGAATTTTTTTTTAAAGGTGCTTCCCAATGAATGCCTGGCACAAAGCAAGAGAGAAGGATCTGGAAGGAACAGCCTCTGAGGCTGTGTGAAATCCACCCCTTGGAAAAGGCTTCCCCGGAAGCACAGAAGCAGAAGAACCAAGGGAGGTTCTGTCCCAGTCCAGTACCTGAGGGAGTCGGAGAAGGCCTCGACGCCGTACTTAGAGATGCAGTAGCCGCCACCAAACAAGGCTACACGACCCATGATGCTGGAGACATTGACCACTCGGCCCTTTGCCTTCCTCACCAGGGGCAGCAGACTCAGGGTCACCTCGATCACCCCCAACAGGTTCACATTGAGCATCTTTACGAAGTCCGGTTTGGTCAGCCACTCATTGGGTGCCGTGGGCACAGAGATGCCAGCATTATTCACCAGGCCCCAGAGTCCTGGGCACACAGAGGGGAGAGAGGAAGACTGTGCTGAGACCCTGCAGTGAGGACACAGCTGTGGTTCCAATTCACCTTCCAACTGAGTGAGGACAGTCTGCAGGGTTTGGGGCAGTGCAGACCCTGTAAGCTGTGGTGACAGAGAGTAGGCCTTCCCCCTGGTTTATTCCTAGTGCCCAGCCCCCTGCCTGGCAGAGGACATTGGATGAGGCAGGACGGATGTTGAGGAAATCTAGTGAGTCCACAGTGTGGGTCACAGAGAGCATGTTTGAGTTTTCACACATCAATGCTGTCCCAGTGAGGGAAAGAGAGAGACACAGACAGAGAGAGAATGAAGAATGAAGAGGAAGAGAGGAGCAAAGCCACTTTGTATAAATGACAAAAAGATAAAAGACAGCGAACACCTAAGAACACTTGGGTTGGGTAGAACAGACCTGAAATCTCAGGTTTGGGGTCAAGTGGAGAATAGGCCTGGGTTTTCACACATCAATGTTCTCCTTGCAGACATTGTAAATATTCACCCACATTTTCAGATTTCTGGACAGCTTCCATAGTGAGCACTCAACAACTATCAATGAGGGAAAAGAGAGACAAAGACAGAGAGATATTGAAGAATGGAGCGGGAGAGAGAAAAACACACACACACACACACACACACACACACACACACACACACTGAACAAAAGACCAAAGTATAAAATATGGCTAATACTTGGGGACACAGGTTGGGCAAAAAAAGACCTGAAATCCCAGGTGTGAGGAAATGTGGTGAACAAGTCTGTGGTTGACCTCAGGTCACTGACCTTGACACAATCTGCATCAACATTGAACTATGATCCTGCAAGAGCTCTGAGAATTCCAAGGACAGGCTTTGAGGGGGGCCCAAGGCTGTCCCTCCCCAACTGCAGGTACAGACCCTGAGCTCCAGTCAATGCCACCCGCCCCTCCCACTTGCACAGGAGGCCCTCTCCCCCAGCTCCCCTGGGCTCACAGTTCATCCAGCTTCATGGAAATCTCTCTGCAAGATTCAAAGACACAGTCCCAAAGACATAAAGGTTTCTAAACCACAGACCTCAGGGCAGCAGGAGTAGGGATTAGGAAGTGGACTGGAGAATGGGATGAAGCTGGAAGTGGGGCAGCTTCCTCATGGCCCCCCTGATTGAGCCTAGGCCCTGCTCACATCCACAGGAATTGGCCAGACCCTTCCCCCCTCATGAAAAAAGGGCAGTGGGGCTGGCAGAGGCTCTGAGGGACTTGGAGGCTGGGTTACATTGGAGCTCTTTTGGCAACGCCCTCCAGTTGCAGGCCTGGTGGAGCCCTGCTGTAAGCATCGGTGGTTTGTGTCCTCCCGGAAGTACAATCAGAGATCATAGACCTAACCAGTCCACAGCCCCCTGACCTGCTGGAGAGGATTCTGGGAGGTGGGCCCAAACCTCTTGAACACCCTTCCCCAAGGGCTACAAAGAGTCTCAATGATCATTGTTTTGGGGGAAGAGAAATGACAAAACCAGAAGCTCCAGGTTAAGCCTGTGGCAATGGTTTCATTTTAATGAAGCAACATGGCCTGTGCCTGAGTGGGCTGAACACTAGAACATGGACTCTAAGTCTCCGGAGGGCAGGGACTGAGTCTCATTGTGTTTATAGTTCCGGCACCTGGCGGTGCCTCGCATCTAACAGATACACGAATATTGAGGGAGATGACACTGCATGTCCCACTTCATTCTCCGTTTTCACCTGCATTTCTTACATTGTCTGACAATAGAGATTCCCCAAAGCCTCCATCC